TGGTCTCAGTTTTCAAAGATGAGAAGCCCCAGATCATATTGAGTTACATAGTGGGCAGGATTTGGCCTCCTCGGGGATGACAAAGGCTTCAAAACTAAAGAGAAGAGATGATCATCATGGAAATGTCAGTTACAGCCAGTGGCACACATACTGTTTAGCCTGCTCCAGCCACTGAACAAGGCTCCATCGCTCTGTACTGCAGGTAGATATATACCGTTTTTTTTGTTTGTTTGTTTGTTTTTTTTGTTTTTTGTTTTTTTGTCACCTAAAAAGAAACAATTAAGCCATTTGATTTCTACTACCTTTCAAAGTGAAACGAAAGAGAAAAGAGTTAAAGACCGAAGAAGCCCAGCGTGGTGGTGGCGCACACCTTTAATCCCCACACTCGGGAGACAGAGGCAGGAGGATCTCTGTGGGTTGGAGGCCAGCCTGATCTACAGAGCGAGTTCCAGGACAGCCAAGACTACAAAAAATAGGCAAAGACCTGCTCAAATCCCTGGGGAATTATCTTGTGTGGCCGCCAAAGATAGGGCCTTAGGTCCTGATCAGATGTCTAGGTTGGAAAACACGCCTGAGGGCATGGAGAAAGAGGCAGGCCACCTCTTCCTACCTCGTCTAGGCTGGCTGGAAGCTCCAATTCCTGAATCTGCAAGACAGGGGCTGACGGGAGGGGGGTAGCGGGGAGGCAGGAGGGAAGGTGAAAATGATTCCTCTCTGCTTGGTGATGCCACGTGATGGGCATTAGAGACAGAGTCTGGGGTGCAGAGGAGACATCTCTAGAAAGATTATCTCTAACGGCAGGGTAGGGTACGTTCAACACCTCATAGGGAAGGCAGCGGGAGTGTCCAGGGCTCCACGACTAGCGGCACCCCCCCCCATCTGCAGACTAACTCAAGTTCACATCCTGAAGTCACCCTTCCAAGTTAGAGCCCTCACCCTTCTCTCCAGGAGAAAAGTTGTATCATTCGTAACTAGAAAGGTGGTGACTCATATCAGTCAGCATTTATGTGCAGCTGTTGCCCAGAAGCGAATCTGCTCCCACACTCTGTCCCACAGTCTCCAAGTTGAAGTGTGAGACCAGCATCTGTGAAACACTTGCCGTGAAGACCTGTGCATTTGGCTTATCGCCCTGTGCCAGGCTTTCTTAGGGAATGGGCTGTGTGAAGCCACCTAGACAAATCCCATCCCAATTAGCTCTCTCTCTCTCTCTCTCTCTCTCTCTCTCTCTCTCTCTCTCTCTCTCTCTCTCTCTCCCTCCCTCCCCCTCTCTCTCACACACACACATACACACACCACACACACACACACAAGCTTGCACACACACCGTACACACATACACACACACAGGGAACTAAGCCTCACACCCATAAGCATGCTCACACACGTGTTCTCAACCCTCCCCAGGCCACCTCCTGCCTCTGCTGTCACTACCATGCCATAATATTTCTTGAAAAGCAAACAAATCACGTCCCCTTGATTACATTTCCTGATTTCGTAGAAAGCAAAATTGTAGTAATTGGTTTACATTAAGCATCGTGATATTTGAGAGAGGGAAATTAAACAGAATATCGTTAGGTTTGATTCGTAGGCAAACACAGCTAAATCAAAGCAAGGCAGGCGTTTGGTGAGGCAGACAACCTTGGAAGAAACTGGCCGCGGCAAAGCCACCCCAGCTTTGGCTACCGAGGGTGGTCCTGGTGGTTAGAGACTCCAGCACATTTGGGACTCTCTCAACCCTGGGAGACACTAAGATCATGAATCTAAAAGAGATCTCAGTGAAACCTCTTCCAGCAGACCACAGTCCTGCCTCAGCTGCAGACTGTCTAACAAATACAACCTCAAAACTCACCGACCTTCTGCCGCCAGTGACCAGACGACTCCAGCCTCGCAGGTTCCCTTGGTTCACGGCTGCTCCCCTGCAAGCCTCGGAGCCAACCCTTCCTCGTCGGCAAAGACGTTCCCGTTGGGCCTTCACCAGATAAGCCAGCTAGCTCCTCTAGTTCTCCCCAAGGCAAGGAGTCACCTGTAACAAGGTCTCTCTGTCCTCTCAACGCCATGGTCCAAGACGAAATGCCAGTTAGAAACCCTAATGGCGTTTTGTGGAGACCGAGGTCCTTCCAGGTCTTGGGGAACAGTAGACACAGTGGCCACACTTGCAGCTGCCTATTGGGGGGGGGGTTCTATCAGCACCCGCCCATCGCAGACAGCTCTGGACATACTGAGGGCAGGGCCAGGTCTGGAGCACAGGTGCGAGCTGGTTCTGGTCCTCATGGCACTGGGGCAAGGCCTTGACCCTCTCCAAACATTATTTCTCTAGAGATAGAGGGCAGTGTGCTCCCAGGAGAAAGAGCCCAGACCCACCTGCTCGGGCCTTCGCAGATCATCCAGCCTCATGCATTTGCCTATCGTCCACCCGTGCTGCCATCTGAGGAGGTGGTGACCCTGCTTTCTAGGAGCTCCAAGACTTCAGGAGCCCCCCCCCCCCGGAAGTCTCTCAGAAATCATGCGTGGGTTCTGACTCCAGACTCGCGGCTCTTCCTGCTGGGCTTGTCTCCGCCTTTCCAAATTCAAGTTGATGATGATACTGGAAGTTTTATTGAGCCAGGATGAACTGTGCTTGTAGAGTGATGCCTTTTCCTTGTCAGCCGCTTAGGTCCCCCCCCGCCAGTCGCCTGGGCTCTGCCGCGTTGTAGTCCCCAAATAACACACAAGATGCTGTATTAATTATGAAGCTGTTGGCCTTGCTTGTTTCTTACTGGCTATCTCTGACTTAAGTATTTACCCCATAACTGCCAATATAAGTAGTTCTCTTACTGGAGAAAAGTTTCTGGGTTTCTTACCCCTGTGGCGGTTACATCTTGACTTCCTGTGTTTCTCCTTCCCAGAGTTCTCCTCGACTCCTAGTCCCACCTATCTTGCTTCCCTATTGGCCAACAGTATTTTATTGGCATATACACAGGACTTCCCCCATCATGTGCTGCCTTAGAAAGAAACGCCAAAGGACGGAGAAAGTGTCCCCAATGTCTTCCATGCATGTGGAGGACAGGCATGAGGAGTGACATTTGAGCATAGCATCAGCTTAAAGACGACTCAGGGCCTGGGTTATGTGAGCTCAAACATCCATAAACCCTGCTGCCCTCAGTCTGGCTCCTTGTCCTCTGTCTTCCACTGGGTTGTTCCAGGAACCTTCCCCTGGTCCCATGGGAGTAGGACAGAGTTCTGTGGCTTGCCCTGAGCTCTTGTCACCAGCACAAACATCTTGTCCTCCGTACAAACTCAGCTGCCCACCTGGATTCAGGATGGTTGGGGCTTAAAAGCGAAGGCACTCTGGCCCCACTGCTTGGCGGGACTTATCTCAACATATCTTTCCAGTCTTCGTCCTATCGACACCTGGCTATCCACACCTTGGATGTAGAAAATAAAGAAAAGGAAGAAATCTTCTAGGTAGATTTAAAGGCCCTGGAGGCATGGCCATCCCCTTATCACCGCTCCCTCCTGCCACGAGACAATTGTGAGCACTGGGGCGACTCGCTAGGCTTCTGTGGGGACCTGAGCTTTCTCCTTTTCCTTCTTCTACTTCTATGAGTGTCTTTGAGTGGAGGCCACACAGAGACTGAGCCAGCTGCTCTCTAGGAATGTGGGTGCAGGGGAGAGACCCCCGTCAGCTCCTCCCACCCGATCCTCTCAGAGCAGCAGGTGCAGCGGCAGACAGGTGAGGGCCCTCAGCTTTTGTCTCCCATTCAGGCCTGGTGACATTGGGGCCAGCCCTCTCCACTCCCAGCCTTCACCCTCTTGCCTCCTTCCTGTTGGTGTCTCCGTCTATTGTCTCCTCCGAGCTCTAATTATCTCTTTGCATCTCCTGCGAAAGCGCTTTGCAAGCGAGCCCAGCACCACCCCCTCCGCTGCACACAGGGGCCTGACAGTTGGAACAGAAGCGCGGGGTGATGAATCTCCTTTATTAAAAAACCTTTTGTCTAAGAGCGTCACCTTCAGTGTCAGGACTCCACAGATGCACAAGGAGAGGGAGGCGGAACCTTGGCGCGGAGGGAGGGGAAACAGCTTAAAACAAGCCATCGATTTCAAAACTTGACCAGATAAAAGGTGTTCTCCCCACCTTTGTTCCCTGCTAATTCGTGAGAAACGAGCTCCTGAAACTGGGCACGGGAAGGGAGGGGCACACCTGTAATCCCAGCACTCTTGAGGTATAGACAGCGCAGGGGGAGAAATTCAAGGTGATGCTCAGCTTAGGGGGCTCAGCTTAGGTCCGGTTTAAGCTTGGGCATGGGCTCTGCAAACAGGATTGGGGGAGTGCACGCGGGAGCCTAGAAAGTTCCTGGGGGGGGGGGCACCAGGTGAAGAACAAAAGAAACCCCGCCCTCCCAGAAGACTGGTCTTGTGCAGGCAGGGACAAGCCAAACGTCTCATGATGATGTTCCCAAGTGGGTGATGTCCCTCTGGTTACATCAGAAACGGGTGTGTGGGGGGGACTGTAAAGCAGCCCAAATCAAAGACAAAAATCCCTCTAGAGGGAAGCTTCCAGAATTTAAGGCTCGTGATGTTGCGGTAAATTCGAGGTCTTTCAGTGATATATATGTTTCCAGTTCTGGGTGCATGTATGTGGTTTCCACACGAATAACCATGTGGGTGATGAAGGTTTGGGATCCAAATGCATGGAGGAGTTCCCACTCTCCAGGGACACCACCAACCCACCCCTGCAGACCTAGGCCTACGGGAGCGCTGTGGCTTCCTGAATGTGGGATGGGCCCTCTGCCCCCTGATAGGCCCGGCCTTCACCCACTGCATGAACCCACAGCCCCACCCCAGTCTTGAATGAACCTCAGGCATGGCCTCAAACTCCAGTCCCTCCCCCAGCATGCAAGAAGAGGCCCTAGATGTCTCCAAGGTGACCCTCTGCCTCTGAGTTTGTGTCTCTGTCTCTCTCTGTGTGTTTCTGTCTCTGTATGTCCATCTGTCTCTGTGTGTGTCTCTCTCTCTTCACTCCCTCTCTCTCTACCTCTCCCTCCCTTGTTTCCTCCTCTCTCTCCCCCTCCCTCCTTCCCTCTTTCTTCCCTCAGTCTTCCTGGCTGTCCCCCTCCTCCTGAAAGGCCTGTATTTTGTCCGAGATTCTCTGTATTTTTTCGAAGCTCCCTGTCATCTGGGCTCGTAGTCTTTCTGGAATTGATGTCAGCTATGTCGTTCCAAACAAGACCTGTTGTGATTTCTGGTTATAAAACAACGTGTTCCCATCTCGTTTGGAGACTGCAGACCCTTAATATGGATAACATAGGAGGGGTTAGCAATGAAGCTGTAGAGAGCTGGCCTTTGTCACAGGGTGGAGTCTCCACTGTGGCTGAGGGAGTGGGATCCTCCTGAAGTCAGGTACCATCCTGCATCAGCCAAGGGGAGATCAGGCTTCCCCAGATTCCCCCGCCTACCCTGTAAAACACAAAGTGGGTATTTTGAACCAGGCAGAAAAGAAAAATGTAATATATCAAAAAATTATCTCCGGAAGTGTCAGCCAAAGGACAGCTTCCACACCTGCCTCCCTGCTTCTCCCGAAAAGGATGCTTGGGTGTCAGAGAGAGCTGCTGACATGGATGGCATCAACAACCGCGAAAGAGCCTCCTAGGTGAGGGGAAGCAGGGCTTTGATGATCTGTGGTTCCGAGCTGCAAGATGATTAGCAGGATGGTTAGCCGCCACCGAAATGGGAGGTTTTTTTTTTTTTTTTTTTTTTTAATGGATACTGTAACGACAGCTTCGAACAGTGCGGCACCATCCACACAAACAGCATGATCTTATAAAAATTTCATCTTTATCTATTTTTGGGGAGAAATGGCCCTGTCTGCTAATTGAAGCATCTGTCATCCTGACACTAAATGAGCATCTTGGTCCTTTTGAGGTACCAGGAGCGTTTCACACTGAAACCCTGCTACCAGCTGGGAGACAAAGGGAGATAATGGGGTGCTACAGGGAGGGGAAGGGCGGTCCCCCTTGCATTTCTCCTTGAGTTTGCCGGTTCCTCTCATCCCTCAGCTCCGGCAAGGGGAGGGTTGCTTAGATGAGCATCAGCAAGGCAATTATCCACAATCCACAGCCAGTGCTCCCCGCGCCTGGGAAACACCAGCACCCACTGCTGAAGATTCAGCTCTGTCAGTATCTTGCCCTGACCGGATCTCTCCCCACCTAGCCTTTGTTTTTTACTGCGGGAGCGTGTTTCAAGGTATTTCACCCAGATCACTCTCTGCTTTAGAGTGTGTCCCCAAAACACGAGTGTCCCCCGTAAAACCCCACTTCGCTAATGCTGGAGCCTGCTGGAGCTGCCCTGTGAAGTTAAACAGTTCGGGGACAAGCTTGGCACCCTGGCTCCTCTCTGTGCCTGTGAGCAGAGCACGCACCCTCTCTATTGCTTCCAGCTTTGTGTCTGTGGAGAGGAAGTGGGCACAGGCAGGCAATGACAAAAGTGACAGTTTAGCTATTATTTCCCAGGGCAAGCAGTGAGCCTTTCAGTTCTGATGCTTACGGTGGATTAAATCTCTCCACAGCAGCTTCTCAGGCAGGCAGTGCATTGTGGTAACCAGGATGCTGGTGGTGGTGGTGGTGGTGGTGATTCTGACGGTGTTGATTGTGGTGATAACAATGGTGGTGGTGATGGTTGTGGTGATGCTGATAACAATAAGGAGGAAGGGGTAGAGTGAGATGGTGATGATGGTGATGATGATGATGACAGTGAGTGTGGTGATGGTGACGATGATGACAATGGTGATATCATAAAGATGGCTATTTTAATAATGATAGTGATGATGGTCGTGGTAGTAATGGATATGAGGGTGGTAGTGGTGGATGGTGATGGTGGCCATGGTGACCGTGCTGCTAATGTGATAACAGGGCACTTCACTAGATGTTTGCACTGCTTAAAAGTGCATTCATTTATCCCAGCAAAAAGTCTTGACAGAGCACTTGCCACAAATGATGAAACTGGGGCTTACACTCATTGCCACTGGTCCAAGGCCACACGCCAGGCAAGTGACAAAGGGACACTTCATCCATAGGCAGTTGCTCCAGAGATGAGCTGTGCATATTCTCCAGCACCAAATGAGAGAACACCAGGAGGCTTAACTAAGTGACCTGGGGCCCAAGGGCAGCCCAGTCATATCCTTACCACCAGCTCATCGAGTTACTCCAGAGCTCAAGGCCAGTAACTGTGAGTGTCCATGTCTGTGCTCAGTGGCGAGGGGTTTGTCTTGAGAAGGGAATGATGATGAAGAAGGTGATTTTGTTTGTATTGTTGGCACCAGGCCTGGAGTGGGTGTTGCCTCCTCACATTAACTCACAGACCCTAGGGAGAGGCCTATTTGTACAGCCATTCATCCATGGGGCGTTAAGTGATGGGATTTCTGTTGACCCATCTTACCACACCATTCCCGATGATTCTGGCTAACCCGCCACTGACCTGTGAGTCAGTGGTCAGATGCCAGAGGCCCAGAATATTAAGTTTAAGCCTTTAAATTACAGTTTTTAAGTATTTAAATTATACAAACACTTCCTGGCACTGTATAGCCTGTTATGAAACAGCCACTGTTCTATTCACTGAAAGAAATTGAATGTAAATTTCCATGAACCATGAACTGTGAAAACAGTATCCATGTATCTCGGATCCAGCGGAGAGTGGAAGATGGATAAGGCTTGCTTTCATGGTAACCTGTGGGCAGCAGAGGTTTCCATAAGGTAGGTCATCCTCTCTAAATCTCTGAGTGAGCACACTCGGGCTGCGACCCTAAAGGTTCTTCAGCTGGCATAAGGGCATCGCGGAATACAGCAGCAGTGACAGTTCACACCCAGTGCCACAACCCGTGGCCGCTGAGGAAGATGATACACCCAAGCGGTCTCAACCCAGCGGGCAGAGCTGGACCCTGGGACTGTCTGTGTGTTACAGCTTTAAAAGCCAGAATCCGGGGAGAGGGATGGCCCTAGCCTTCCCAGTAGCAGCACCAAATATATACACATGTGTGCATCTATACATACGGGTGGGTATTCTTGTATGTGTGTGTGTGCGCACATGCGTTTGTGTGTGTGTGTGCACGTGTTTGTGCGTGTGCCACTCTGACTGATGTACGTAGATGCGCACACGTCTGCACACATGCTCACTCGTAGAAATGCAGGTGCTCACATATGTGACTCTCTCTCTCTCTTTTTTTTTTTAACTTCCCTTTAAATTTGTTCTTTCTGTCTTTCACGTCTCGCATCCCGATCCCATTCAGGCCCTGTCCCTTCACGCCTGCCCTTCGCCCTTGCATCCTCCACCCAAAATGAAGTCAAACTTAAGAAGGAAAATAAGGAACTCTCGCTATGGGGTAAAAGCAAACCCTTTTACCCGTGTCTGTATCTTCACTGGCAAGTGTTCGTTGCAAACAAGAGTCGTCGGTCTTGTTCCAGGTCTCCGGTTTCTGCTACACTATCAATGCTTGGCCCTCACTCCTCATGGAGATCCTGTTGTTGCCCCCACGCCATGGAGATTGGCTGCTTTTGGGTCTGTAGGTCCGGCCCCTTCAGGTGCTCCGGCAGATCACAGATGGGCTGGATGTTGGGATGGGCCAGCTCATAGTCCTGGTTCTGGGCCTGGGTAGTTGCAGGGTTGCAGGGTTGGTCAGCCCACCAGCCCGAGCGCTCCCCCCCCCCCCCCACTCCCATGCTTCCTTCCACCCTCACCCTCCTCCCCATCTTCATCGCCATGGTGAGCTCCCCAGCAGTGCCCCTAGCTAGTTCCCCCCTTGCAGCCATGATCAAGGGGCAGAGTCAATCCTGCTTTCACACCCTCGGGGACTGCCCTCCCCACGCCCCCCTTACCTCACACCCCCCGCCCCCTGCCCCCACACCCCCACACCTGTGTTACTCTGGTGAGGTGCAGGGGCCACTCTCTCACAAGCTGTAGTTGGTACACAGAGCAAAGACAGCTCTCCCGCTCTGCTCTTCCGACCTCAGGGCCAGCTCTCCAACCTGCCACGGGCATCGAGGGGCTGGAGAGGGGACGAATCTCTCCCCAGCCCACACCACCATACAGCAGATGAGGGGCAGGACCAGATCTCCAGTGCTCACATTCTCTCCGGGCCACGGCCGGTCAATAGAGTCAGTTCTACTGCACTGCCCAGGAGAGGGACAGGGTCCACTTTCCCCAGTGTCGCAGCTGGTAAGGGGAGGAGGGTCAGCTCTCTCTCCCACCACAGTGGCAGGGGGAAGTTGGGGAGGGCGTCTTTCCCTCACCCTCGTCAACATGTGGCTCTCCTACTTGGTTCCTGTCTTCAGTCTCACCACAGGAACCTGGGGCTGCCTATCCTGGGGACCAAGGACCCGGCGCCCACAGGGGGATGGGGCAAGGGGCGTAGGAAAAGGTGTCAGGGGAGGGTCGTTTTCATGAGGGGCAACCCGTGCACGCTGCTGCTTGAACCATCTCTGCAGTCAAAAACAGAACGGAGGACCGTGTGCACAACGGGGTCACCGCAATCCGCCTTCCCTGGCTGTTAGGAAGTGGAATGCATTTCATATGACGAATAGAGCGTGGGGGGGGCACTGCCCTCTGCGAGAGGGTCTGGCAGCACCTGGGTATGACAAATGCTTCTAGAACCTGCTTTCTTCCCTGCAAGGACTCTAAGCAAAAGTCCTCAAGGTGGTGTACACCTTCAGTCCTGGCACTCAGGAGGCAAAGGGAGGTTTGGAAGGCCAACCTGCTCTACGTACCAAGTTTCAGGCCAGCCTCGGCTGCCTAATGAGATCCTGCTTCAAAAAAGAGAAGTCTCCGTAGTCACCCAGTGACGGTATCCCAGTTACCCTCACAGGGAACCCAAACCCTACACTACCACGGAAGTGTCTGAGCTGCCCACCTGACCCAGAAGTCAGAGCTGGATCTCAGACACGGGAAACAGTCAGGAGCAGAGAGCACACCTTTGGAACTGAGACCCCAGTACTCATCCAGGATGCCCCCCCAGTGTGCAGTCCCACCTCCATCGTCAAAGCGGCTCACCCTACCCTCATCTCCGTGCTCCCTCCGGACTCCAACTCCTGTGCCTCCTTCTAAGGGCCCCGTGACCATACTGGCTGCCCAGTCGTCCCCCAAATGATCCCCATCTCAAGATGCCCATCCAATCACATCAGCTGTATAAGTCTTGTGTGGATGGGCCTGGGGGTTTGGCTATGGATTTGTGGAAGTCTACACATTGGCTAAGAGTGTGCCCAGGCAGGCCTTCTGGTAGTAGGAATGGGCCAACAGAGGGTTTGTTTCCCATGCCAGGAGCAGTGCCCAGCTGTGTGTATAGACTGTAAGCTGAGCGAGAGACGAAATTCCAGAGACTAGTGGAAATAAGATTCCAGAGTTGGGGGGGGCAGAACCCTAGACCTGGAGCAGGTATCCAGAGCAAGATTTTGGATCCCTCCCAGGCTCCACTCCCCAAGCTCCTCACCAAGACCATGGCCTTCTGCTGTGAGAATCTTAAACTGCCTTTGAGGCCCCCAGTCCCGTTGCCCCGATAGGAAACCCATGAAGGAGATACAGGCTGAGGTCTTGTGGGCCTGATCACAAGTCCTGGGACAGGGGAGGGGCGGCCATGAACAGAGGCAGCTCCTGCTCAGGGGCCCAGGGGCTGAGGGAGGATCAGTTGTGCAGTGTCTGCTCACACGTCATCACCTCATCCGTCATCACCTCAGCCGTGAAGCATCCCCGCCCGCTCACACCTAGCTCCTTGGGACCCCAGTGTGCAGCCAGGCTGGGTGGTTGGCGCTGTGCGGCAAAGTGTCCCAAACTCTTCCCACCATTCATCTAGAGCCCTCCTGTCCTCAGGCCGTACAAAGCTGGATCTCTGCACCAGTTGCTTCCTGGTTTGCTGAGGCAAAGCGCTTGACAAAAGCAACATAAGGAAGGATTTGTTTGGGCCAGTAGCTTGAGGAACAGAGTGACGGTCGGTCGGGATGCTGCGACAGGAGCTAGAGGCGAGTGGTCACACTGAGGCTGCTTTGGGAAGCCGCTTGCCTTCTCCTGTGTTAAGTACAAGACTCCAGCCCTCAGTCCCCCGGCCTCAAAAATCCAGTCTAGGAACTCCCTTAGAGACAAGCCCAGATATTTGCCTCCTGGGTATCCTCAAGGCTGTCAAGTCGGCAATGTTAACCATCGTACCTTCTGTGTCACACAAGCACCCACGTCACCATGGACTCGTGGTCTGCATGGCTTTGTGAGGCTTGTCTCCAACACGCCCTCCCCTCCAGCCAGAGGTTCTGAGTGACACACCTTCTAGGGGCGGGGCGCAGTTGGCACTCTGCGGGGGGGGCTGAGGTATCTGTGACTGTGGTTAGAGGAGTATGGCGTGAAGCTGAACATTTTCTCCCGCCAACCTCTGGGGTAAGTGTCAGGTGGGGACACAGGGCCCAGGGCAGAATCAACTGCTCCCTAGGTGGTCAACCACAGCTGCTTCCTCTTTCTTCACAGCTTCATGGCCAGAACCACCTCTCTCTCCTTCTTGGTTTTCACTTCTCGACTGTCTTTGAGGGTCTTTTAGTTGTTTCTTGGGACCCTCTCCTCCCTCCCTGTATGTCTGTTTGTCTGTCCAACTATGTCTGTCTGCCCCAGTCTTTCTCTCTGTGTCTGTCTGTCTGTGTGTGTGTGTCTGTCTGTCTGTCTGTCTCTGTTTCTCTCTCTCTCTCCCCCTCTCTCTGGGTCACCACTGTCCCACAGACCTGCCTTAAGGATCTTTTGGATCTGCTGCCATAGCTGGCACATACATCCAGGCCCCATCAGTCTCCTCTTGCTCCAGCCCCAAATCTGTCTTCTTGCTTGTTTGGAACACCTCAGACCCTGTTTCATTTTTCTGATGTCAACTATTTTCTGATTTGAACCTTTTGTTTCTTGTCTAAGAAATTGCTACCATTTGTAAACAAAAAGCCACATGTTGTATGATCCATCTATGTGGAATGCTGTGACAGAACGCCGTGTCTCCTGGACGTTCAAACCCCTGATGTGGTACTGAGGAGGTGGGGTCTTTGGGGAGCTGTTCAGTCACAGGGGTCTGTCCACCTGAATGGGCTTGGTGTGTGTATAAAAGAGGCCTGGGCTCAACAGTTGGTGCATCTCCCAGTGGACATGAGTCTGGTTCCCAGCACCAGTGGTGGCTAACAACCACCTGTAATCCCAGTTCCAGGTGATCTAATGCCCTCTTCTGGCCTATATGCATGTTCTCTCACGCATACACACATACACACACACAGAGAAATACACATAAATAAAAACAATTTCTAAGTCTTTAAAAAGAGAGCCTTTCTGGTTTACAAGATCTAACACTAATGCACAAACTGACTTAGTGGAACCCATTCTATACGGAGAGATACCTTGCCCAGCCTAGACACAGGGGTATTGGGGGTAGAGAGCTGCCTTGGTCCTGCCTCAACTAGATGATGGGACAGACTTAGTAGACTTCTTGGGAAGGCCTTACCCTTCCTCCGAGGAGCAGATGGGAGGATGGGCAGTGGCAAGGGGTGGGGGTGAGTAGGGGGGGGCAGGAGGAGAGGAGAGAGGGGGGGAACTGGGCTTGGAATGTAAAAAATAAATTAAGAAGAAACAAGAGGGAGCCTTGGCCTTTTTGACACTGTGAGCCTGGGCTGAACGGACAAACGGCCCTCGCCAGATGCAGACCTGCTGTGTCTTGGTCTTGGACTCCCACCCATCACAACCAGAGCAGCACGGTACCTCTGTTTGCAAACGACCCTGGCCATGTAATTCATCATAGCTACCAGGATGGAAGACAGGGATGTCCAGGACGGCAAGCCCACAGAGACAAGGTAGATAAGTGGAGCCTGAGGCGGGGAGCAGTGGAGGGGAAGGGGGATGAGAATGTTCTAAAATGGATGGTGGTGACAGCTACACAACTCTGTGAGTGTTCCACAAGCCAATGAGGTGTGCATTTTTAAATGTGCAGATTGCACGAGAGGTGAATTATATCTCAATCAAGCTGCCATAACGAAAAAACGTGACACGAGGCCGCTGTCCCCATCTTGTCTGTCCCTGCAAGGTGTGTGTGGGGGTGGGGGGGGCGGCTTCTACTCTTTCCTGTTTTCCAACAACACAGTCGCCGGAGGTAGTGGTGAGTCCACCTGCACAGCCCTCTCCCTTCCTTTGTTTCCAGCCCCTCAGGCCTCCAAACCTTATCTCCCACAAACAGCAACCCAGAGGACTACTTGGCGTCGGCCGCCTTTGTCCTCAGCATGGAGACTTGCTGTGGGACTGTGGGATTGGGAAAGACTAAGGACCTGAAACATCCCGGGCCCAAGTCACTAGCCAGCAGGTGAAAAAGCAGTCGGTAACTGTCACAGCTGCAACCTCTGGGGTCATTGAAGCACAATTGCAGCCTGCAACCTCTGGGGTCATTGAAGCACAATTGCAGCCTGCAACCTCTGGGGCCATTGAAGCACAATTGCAGCCTGCAACCTCTGGGGTCATTGAAGCACAATTGCAGCCTGCAACCTCTGGGGCCATTGAAGCACAACCGTAGCAAGCAACCAGAGGGACAGGAGCTCCTGAGCATCCACAGTGCAGACAAGGGAGGCGTCTGCTCCCAGGGTGCCGTGGGCTCTGCCCTCTTGTGCTGTCTTTAAGACAGTTTTGTCTGCCACTCCCCCGAGTCTCCATTCCCTTCAAAGCCACTTAGTTCCCAATTCCTTTCCAAAGACGAGGAATGAAGAGAGCCGTTGGATTGCTAGGATTCCTTACTGAGGGCACCGGTCACCTTTAGGCTGAGCATAAAGCCTCACAAGGCTATAGAGACAGCAAGTGGAAAGGGTCTCCCTTGACAGACCCCATTTTAAGAGCAGGGGGGGTCTCCAGAGTTGCCCCAACAGCAGGACAGGGGACAGGTAACCTGAAACCTGGCCAGGGCCACTTCTTAAAGAACACGATAAAGATGGATTTAAAGGTGCCTCTCGGGAAAGACATGGGTGGCAGGTGCCCTGGGGAGACCAGGAGGAAAAAGACCCTGAGAGCTGCTGACCATCTCTGCATTTTTTCCTTCAGTCACTGTCCATCCCTCCATTCACTCATTGATTTTGTCTCCTGAGGAGGCTGCAGAAAGGTGGTGGAGTCAGCCCAGAGTTGGGTTTCAAAGTTCCATGTGGACAGCTACAGGGTCCAGGAAGGACAGCCAGCCCCTCAACACACACACACACACACACACACACACATTGTCACCAACCCAGACACACCTTTACCCACTGTCACCAACACAGATGACACCCCTATCCACTGTCACCAATCCAGACAACACCCCTATCAACTGTCACCCAGACAACACCCCTATCCACTGTCACCTACCAAGACAACACCCCATCCCAACCCAGAGGACATCCTATCAACTGTCACCAATCCAGACAACACCCCTATCAACTGTCATCCAGACAGCACCCCATCCTAACCCAGAGGACATCCTATCAACTGTCACCAATCCAGACAACACCCTTATCAACTGTCACCAACCCGGAGGACACCCTACCTGCTGCCATCAGCCTGTGAGGCAGGCAGCTGCTGCAAGTCAGACTCCTAGAAAGTCAAACTGTTATCTCCAGGAATAATCCCGGAAGCCAGACAAGTCATTCTGCAACGGCAGCCTACACACGATCTTAGTCTTGATGCATCGCCGACAGGTCCCTTCCTATGTCAAGACCATCCAGTAAACTACAGGCACGCCCCAACTGGTAGCGGAGGGTGCCCCACTTCCACTGAGAGCCACCTTCAGCACCCCCATCTGACAGCCTGCCAGGCACACTCTGAGAATCCCCAACCAGTTGCCTGTTGCCCCCATCGTGGGAATCTCTGCCAGTCCAGAGACAGCGCAATGCAGGCAGCGACCAACTTTGAGACCTCCGCGGTCCTGCTGGGGGCATCTTCTTTTATCCACACAATAAAAACATTATGGGATGGTTCCAGGAAATCAGAAACGCCTGGCCTCTGGAGCTCCTCTCACAGAAGGACAAGGTTTTGGAGCTCCTCTCACAAAAAGACAAGGTGGCACAGAAGGAAGACCATGGGAGGAACCGTCTGGAACAGTTGGGAGGTCCCAGCGTGATCTGCAGTTTCCCCCTCAAGTCCCTGTACCTTGGGATCCTTGGAGCCACCTGAGGAGGTGATGGGGTCAGAGGTGAGTGTCATCCTTTCCCAGATCTTTCCAGGGGGTGTGGGGCCCAAGATGAGAATGGCTGACATATCACCCTGTGATGGTTAGGGGTTTTTGTTTTGTTTTGTTATTTTGGTTGGGGGGGTGTTTTGTTTGTCAGCTTGATACCATCCAAGGCCATCTGGGAAGAAGGATTCTCAGCTGAGAAAATGCCTCTATCAAGCTGGCAAAGACTTTGAGACATTTTCTGGACTAATGATTGCTGTGGGAGAACCCAGCCCATGGTGGATGGTGCCACCCTGTGCAGGTGGTCCTGGGTTGTATCAGAGCATAGACTGGGGCTGGAGAGATGGCTCAGAGGTTAAGAGCACTTGGTTGATCTTCCAGAGGACCTGAGTTCAATTCCCAGCACCCACATGGTGGTTCACAACCATCTTTAACGAGATCTGGTGCCCTTTTCTGGCATGGAAGTGTATATGCAGGCGGAACACTGTATGCATGAGAAATAAATAAATCTTAAAAAAAAAAAGTAACATAGACTGAGCAAGGAGGAGCAAGCCTCTGCTTCAGCTCCTGCCTCCAGGCACCTGCCTTGAATTCCTGCCCTGACTTCCCTTAACGATGGATTGTGACCCAGAGATGTAAGTGAAATAAACCCTACCTCCAAAATCATCTTTGATCATGGTGTTTATCACAGCCATAGAAACCCTAGCTGAGACAGTCCCTTGGGGTCCACAGTGTCTCCATCAGAAGGAAGAGGATGGTGTTTTTTTGTCCTGAAGTCTGGAGCAACGCAGTGTGATTGGCAGCCCTCACACCCAGCCACAGCATCCCCTCTCTCCAAAGCCTCGTCACTAAGGCCACAGTGTGGCGTGTTCCTCTGCCACATTCCCTCCATCCAGAGCTTCCACTCCCATCCCTCGTCACGCCTCCCAGAACCTTGAGAGAACCCCGTGCTCAGAGGGAAGGTGCAGTTCTCAAGAGCAAAGGGAGGTTGGAGGGCAGCCGGGCTGTCAGAGAACCTCCAGGCACGCCAACCCTGTGCCCAGCTTTCACTGCATTTGTGGTCCACAGATGAGAAGCAGAACACAGCCCCAGGACCCTCACCATCCCTCGAGCGGCTGGGTCAGGGGAGCCAGGGACAGGGCTCTAAGAAATGTGGCTAGAAAGGGGGCAGCCATGACTTACAAAAGGCTGTGAAAGGGACCATGGGCGTGGTGGGCAGCATGGGGGTACTGAGGATAGCCTGAGGGTATCTTACATTGTCACAGAGATGAGACTTGATGAAAAATGGGTCTGTGGAGAAAACAAGAAGGGGGGAGAAGGGAGAGAGAGAGACAGAGAGAGAGAGAGGGAGAGAGGGGGGAGGGAGGGAGGGAAGAAGAGAGAGACAGAGAGAGAGAACAAAACAAAACAGGAGGGAGAAAGAGACAGCAGGGAGGGAGGACAGTAGCCAGCTAAGATAAGAAAAGGAAGGATAGTTTCAGAGCTAGGAAACTCTGTGTCCTTTTAGACTCCGCCCCTAACCCTCCAGGATCTTCACACCACCCTTTGTAGCAGGCTCCCTCTGACTCAAGGCCACTGCTCACTCCATAGCCTGCTCTTCTGAGGACAACAGAAGCAGACCTATCACGGTTGGGTCGCATCGTTTGCTCCCAGGAACCCTGCCGTGGTTCCGCTATGATGAAGCCCCTCCGTCCCCCACAAACGCTTGAGCTGCAGGTTTGGATGATGCCCCGTGCAGTTGTGTCCAGATCTGGGGCTTTGGGAAGGAGTCTGGATTTAGCCTCCACCCCACCCTCCTGGGTGACTTAATCTCCAGGTGGGGCCATAGTTTGATGATGTCACTGTGAGGTTCCCGTAAGACCTAAGTGGCAGTGGGCATGACCTGGAAAGATGACTCTTCTTGTCCGCAGCCTGTCTCCTGTGCTGCCTCTGTTTACAGACCGCCCTGAGGTGAGCCCCTCTGCCCCATCATTTGTCCCCACATGACACTCTGACTCCCCACAGCCCAGAGGCATCACAGCCAGGGAACACATGGCTGCCAAAGCCCAGTGAGTAACTGATGGGGAAGTCCTGTGTATGTGCAAATAAAGCACTGTTGGCCAATAGGGAAGCAAGATAGGTGGAACCGGGAGTCTAGGAGGATTCTGGGAAACGTAGTGAAGGGAGTAGTCGCCATGCGCTTCCCGGGGAAGAGGGGACACAAGTATGCGTGCTCAGTAAGATAGGCCTTATAAAAATATATACTAGTAATTATGGGTCAATAATGAAGTCAGAGCTAGCCAATGAGAAACAATAGCAAATGACCAACAGCTTCATAATTAATATAGTGTCCTGTGTGTTATTTTGGGGTTCAGACAGCTCAGCAGGACCCAGGCGGCGGGCGGGAAGAGTACACATTACAAGTAACAATTCCTTAAACTGGAAGTCACAGTCTCCATCCATGGTTCTGTTTGTGAAGCGCTGGGGAGGCGAAGCCTACGGCATCCTGGTTTCTAGGGAGGATGGAGAGTCTGGGCCCTCACTCTTCATGCTGGCCCCTCGCCGGATACGTGACACACGGCCAGTGCTAAGCAAGCTTCAGGCAAGGCCCAGGCTGCCTTGCAGCCTCACAACAACACTTCTCTGGCCACAGCGTGTGACCCCTTCTGTGTCCTCGTTCCATTTCTGAACCCTGAAACGGAACTCAAGGGAGGAGCTGACCCATACAGGGCCAGGCACTTGGTGTCCACCGCAGCTGCTGCCCTCAGGATCCGTTCGTAGGAAGAGCTCACACCCAACAGTCAAGGATGGCCCCTGTCCCACACCGCCTGCCCCCGACAATGAAGGAGAGGACGCTGGGGGGCGGCAGCCAGAGTAGCCGTTCTCTGCAGCTGATCGGGTCCCACGATGAGCGCGGCCGCGGCGCTCAGATCTTCATAGTCAGGTCTCAGCCACTGGTCATTTTACTCATCTTAAACGTTTTCGTTAGCATAGATTAGTCGCGCAGGTATCATGTATTTCTGTCATCATCTCCCCTCACCCTCTTTGGCCCTCCTCTCACTCTTGCTGGTCGGCTTCCGTTCCCCAGCCAATCACCCGTCCACTTTCAAGGATTTTTTTCTTTTTTCTTTTCTTTCCTTTTTTTTTTTTTTTGTGGCCCAAAGAGCTTCACTGAAGTTACTCGTTACTGTTAGGACCATGAGTGAGGGGTCATAAGCAGGATCGTGAGTAACTCACCAGCGGCTACGCCACTGAAGAAAATGCCTGCCCACCCACCCACAGCCACCTTTCACTTGTCCCTACATCCTCACTAATAGGTGCGGCTTCAGGGGCCCCTTTCCATTCCACGAGGAGGGGATGCCAGCGGGCCCAACCCCACGTGGAAATAAGTGAGTGGTTCTCAAATTCTTAAATTTGAATTTATTCGTACGAATCAATCCCATCCCAGAGAGTACCATCTCAGCATCTGGGCTCCAAAGGATGCTCTCGCCTTCCCTCGACGGGCATCATCGTCTCAAGGAAGGAGGCCGGGAAACGCTAATGGGCAAGATGGTGTGCGACCGCCAGGCAGAGCTGCTGCAGACCAGTGCTCAGGGGCCAGCCAGCCTGGAACCAGCTTCTGGGTGACTGTGAGTAGGTCCTTGGCAGAAGTGTTTGGGCACATGATAAGAGAGCTCCATCTTCAGGGCCGCAAATGAAGAGTAAATGTTCTGAAAAAGAGGAATGAAATAGGCTCCTCCATCGCGCACGCGCACGCGCGCTCCGTGCGAAGGCTGATGGATGCCGCCCTTCAGAATCAACAGAGAGTTTATTTAGAGACTTGGGAGGGGGAGGGGGCGGGGGCGGCGGCGTGAACAAATATTCCCCCAGCTGGTCTGAGATCTGTAAATAATATTCTGCAATAATGAAAGTTATGAACCAACAGTTCTTATGGAGAAGAGAAAATATTGGCAAATAAAACCGCTTGGTGCCCAGACTATAAACTACCATTTGAAATGGAATTGAAATGCTCACCTTGTCCACCAAGGGGAGCAGGGGCAGAGGCCAGACCGGATGGGAGCAGGGAGGAGGCGGGGAACCCAATCCCCAGGCCCCCAGCCTTGGCGCCTGTCCATCTACTTGTGAGCGGAGTCCCACCACGAGCCCCCCACCTGCACACTGGTACTTAATTGCTCATAAAAATGATTTGCTGAGCATTTAGTGTTTTTAATAAACTGGGGGTGCAGAAAAAAAAGATGACATCTGGGAGAACGTCGGCTTTTACCTTTCAAGTTATTAAAAAGGAAGCCACAGAAAAGGAGGAAAGTCAGACACGGAGCAGGGAGAGAGGTGACTCGGAGAAAGGGAACACAGTGTACCCATGTGACCAGAAGACAACCCACAGCTGGGTGGACAAGCTTCCTTGTACATTTTCCAGGGCCTCTGTCCCTGAGTGAGTGGTTGTGAGTGCCCGAATTATGTCTTCCCCATCTCGGGACAAAGAGACTGATCACCCTCTCAGTCTGCCTTTGAAACATGCAGGGAAAAGGTCCAAGCTGGAGGTTTGGAAATTCTGTGGGCAGAAAGCCGACCTGCCCTGCATATGACTCCCTCCCTTTACTGAGCAGCCCTGGCACACAGGAGATGATCCATAAGCTCAGGCTAGCCCTTCCTGCAGTGAGCAGCCCTGGCACACAGGAGATGATCCATAAGCTCAGGCTAGCCCTTCCTGCAGTGAGCAGCCCTGGCACACAGGAGACGATCCATAAGCTCAGGCTAGCCCTTCCTGCATGCTGAGCAGCCCTGGCACACAGTGAGACGATCCATAAGCTCAGGCTAGCCCTTCCTATGCTGAACAGCCCTGGCACACGTGAAATGATCCATAAGCTCAGGCTAGCCCTTCCTGCAGTGAGCAGCCCTGGCACACAGGAGACGACCCATAAGCTCAGGTGCACAAACCCTCATCAGACAGTTGGTGCCCTCTGAGAGAGTTGCATTTGTAATTTCCAATATATAACAACAATTAATAGAGGCCACGGATCTGAGAGAGAATGGGCAGGAATACACGGAAAGTGTTGGAAGGGAAAAAATGGAAGGGGAAATTATTATATTTTAATTTCAAAAACTAAAAAATACATCGATTTTAAATTTTCTGACATGCTGTGTCTAGAGGTAGAATGCTATCACGTATGAGTCCTGCATTCTATCCCCAACACTTCCCAAAAGAATTCCAGTGAATGGCAGGATTCTATCCCCAACACTTCCCAAAAGAATTCCAGTGAATGGCAGGATTCTGGGTCTGCAACCGACAGTCAGCCAGCACTCCGTTTAATCCTCGGCCTTCGGATAAAGTTGCATCTAATCTGTTCCACCACTGTGTACCAAGTGCCCCAGACCTCCTGTGCCTCCCCCTGGCTACAGGCTCTCCAGAGGAGGGCAACGCCAGCCCAAACATGTCACTGGAAACAAGCCCACCACACAGCCCCTGAGCGCGATTGCTTCTCTGTCCTCATACCGGGCTGTGGAACCCACGCTGAGCAGCCACTGGGCACAAGTGTCAGCTCCTAAATCAAAGACATACATCACCGGCCGCCAAATTAACACATTTTATGGAGCTGTAAATGATTTTATGATAAATAGGAACCCAGGGTTATGAATCAGGTTATGCAATCGCTTTCGTCCCCCTCTGCCCCGATCCCTGTTGCTTTCAATTGAGAAGCAATACAGGGGGCGTGGAGTGACATTTAGTTACATTAAATTGCAAGCAGGCCTTTCCTCCTCTCCGTCTCCCCCACATAAAAATGAGGATTAATGCCCCCTTCAGCAGCTCCAAGGCCTTGTTCAGCCACGGTAAAGGACTTGACGCCCTGGGTCTCTGTTGGTTAATTCAGGAGGCTCCGGTCCATCCTGGAGAGTCCCGAAGGCCATGACTGGGCAGCACTCCACTACACAGGATGCTCATTAGCTAGTCGGAAGATGAAAAGGAAGAAAACAAGGGGCCAGAAAGTGCAGAATTCATCCGGAGAGGGTGACTCGGGGAGCCAGTGCTGCCACCTCAAGCTCTACAGCTGGGCGCCCTCAGGCAACCTCAGTAATATGGACCCCCACTTTCTTAGATCCCTGTGCGAGGACCCTGTGGGATGGCTCAGGGGTCAGGCGGGCTTGGCAGCTTCTAGGACCATGGTTTACCAAGGAGACAAGGGATAAAGAGCTAAGCCATCAGGAGATGGGTAGGGAGACGACGGAGGTGAAGGAGACAGGTGGTGCTATGCTTGGCTGCCAGCACTATGCATCCCTGGGGAAGCCTTGACGCTACCAGGCTTCTGGTCATCCTACTTTCCCTAGACTTAGGCACCAGCTCCCCAACCACGACATCAACCTTTAGCTCAGGGAGCGAGGGAGGGGGATGCCTTTCAAAGAGTTGTCAGAACTAAGAACATGTCTCTGGCCGGGCGTTGGTGGCACGCACGCCTTTAATCCCAGCACTCGGGAGGCAGAGGCAGGCGGATCTCTGTGAGTTCGAGACCAGCCTGGTCTACAAGAGCGAGTTCCAGGACAGCCTCTAAAACAATACAGAGAAACCCTGTCTTGAAAACAAAAAGAGCAGGCCTCTGAAGAAATGGCTGAGTGCTGAGGGTGGAGGGGATGGGGAAGAGGCACGAAATGACAGGAAAGGAGAGAGAGTACAAGTGTCATTGAGACCTAGTGCTTGGGCAGGACCGTGTCTTCTGCAGGTAGACTCTGGAGCGGCGTAACCCCTATGTCTTTCCTTCATCCACCTATCTGTCATCTTCCCAGCCACCTGCTGCTGGGCTGGGCCACCCAGAAGAACCATCAGTTGTCTCCTCAAGTTAAACTCTTGTCTTCGCTGACAGAAAACTCACACCTTGAATGTACCCCCTGACAAGGGCATGCGGGGAGGGAGCTCTCACCCGGGGCCATGCCGGTGGGTGATGGGGAGGCAGAGCATATGGGCTTCCTTCCCAGGCTGGGTGATCCATGCGCCTCTACTTACAGGTTCCTCTGCACACGCGTTCCCAGGCACCTGTCCGAGTCTCTGGTGGCCCATGATGAGTTTTATAAGTATGTAGCATGAAAACTAAAAGACCTACACACAGATATTGGGGTTCAAGCTTCAAGATGAAGATCAGAGAAGCAAAGCAGCCAAACCAGTAGATCTTACCTCTGCTCAGCTGAAACGGCAATCCTGTCTCCACGAATCCTCAGAAGCAAAAGGCTCTCCTGTCTCCTCCTCATATTCCTTTCTCCAGTCAGCCATATCACACCTGTCTCTACCTCCCTAGTGCTGAGATTAAAGGCGTGTGATCCCAGGTGCTGAGATCACCTTTGTGTGAGCTGTTTCTTTTAGGACTGGATCAATTTTGTGTAGTCAGTGTGGCTTTGAACTAACAGAGATCTGTCTAGCTCTCTGAGTCCTGGGGTTACAGGTGTGCACCACCACTGCCTGACCTCTACAGCTTGTGGCTGACTTTGCCTTCTGAATCCTCGGGCAGGCTTCAATAAATCATAAATAATATACCACCACATAAACAGACATAATTCATGGAGATTTTGAAAGTAATAGGCCATTTCCAGGGCTCAGAAACTAGAACAAGCCACCTGTGCCGGTTAATTTGTCAACACCACACAAGTTAGCATCGTCTGGGAAGCGGAAACCTCGACTGAGAAAAATGCCTCCATCAGAATGGCCTTTAGGCAAGTCTGTGGGGCATTTTCTTGAACAATAATTAATGTAGGAGGGCACTGTGGGCAGTGCTGCCCCTGGGCAGGTGGTCCTAGGTTGTATAAGAAAGCAGGCTGAGCAAGCCACCGGGAGCAAGCCAGTGAGCAGCGCCCCTCCATGGCCTCTGCTTCAGTTCCTGCCTCCAGGCTCCCACTCCCCTTCACGATTGGTCTGTAGCCAAGCTGCAAGCTGGAATAACTCCTTCCCTCCCCTAGTTAGTTTCAGTCGAGATGTTTAGTTCGCCAATGGAAAACAAACTAGAAAGGCGCATTTGTGGTTATAAATGGAGATCTCAGTCTCCACCTTCTGATTCACCTGCTTCCAGACAGCAGGAAAAGCCATATGTGTAGTTGTCACTGCTCAAAAATACACCAAAGGATTCCCAAGAATTAGACCGGGTAACACTAAGATTAAGCAGAGCTGAGAACAAGAAGCATCCAGCACACATTCCACTGTGGGTGGGAAATAAATCTCTGGTTCGGCAGTCAACACTGGGCTTTGCAAATGTCTGGCATTCAGAATGTGTTCCCGCGTGTGTGCATGCGTGCTTGCTTGTGTGTGTGTGTGTGTGTGTGTGTGTGCACGTGTGTAAGGCCAATGTCTTCCTCAATCATTCTCCTCCTCATTTTTTGAGGAGGGCCTCACAGAGAACCTGGAACTCGCTAATTTGGTTAGACTTCCCAGCCAATGATCCCCAGGCATCTGCCAGTCTCTGCCACTCTGCACTGGCACTACAGACATGTGTCACCTTGTGTCTTCAGTGTTGGCACTACAGATGTGGTGTGTCACCGTATGTCTTAGTTGTTTTCCTGCGGCTGTGAAGAGATGCCATGACCAATGCAGATTACAGAAGAAAGAGTTTATCTGGGGCTTACAGTTGCAGAGGGTAAGTCCATGACGAACAAGGCAGGGAATGTGACAGCAGGCAGGCTGGCTGTTGGGATATTACATCCTGATCCACAAGGATGAGACAGGGAGATAGACACT